ATTGGCCAAACCACTTCACTGGAAGATATTGGCCAAACCACTTCACTGGAAGATGTTGGCCATTTTTCGGTACATATAATTGTTGTTGTTTGTTATTAAGCACAAAGCTACACAAAGGGCTATCTTGTTCTGCCCCCAACAGGTATCGAAACCCGGTTTTTAGCAGTATAAGTCCGCAAACATACCACTGTGTCACGGGAGGGCTGGTGCATATAGATGAAGATAAAAGTTATGTAGATGTCAATAGTGTAAGCCAAAGACATTAATTTCAAATTTCATATATAGCTGAAAACAAACCATCTTTTCTTTGTATGTACTCTCCAATGTTTATTCGTGATTTTATTTTGCCATCGAGAAAGTAAAATATTTTAGGCTTTAATGAATAAAACAACAAGTCATTTCAAAATCTTCCGTGTTCTCTATTTTAAGAGTTTTTTTTTACATCTCATCAGGGTTTAATCTCCCTAAGGCATGGATTCCCGGCATGTTCAATATGCGTGTAAGTAATGTCTCCCATGACGTTAGGGTACGAGTTGTTGTTTAACACTGACTGTGGAGGTTATACTTAGGTTTAACTACGTTAAAAAGAGCTATAAAAGACAAATAAAAAACGTTCAATAGTCCTGCTTGTGTTTCATCAAATGGCACTATTCTTGCAGCCTGTGATGAGAGCCGTGAATGAGTTATCACAGCTTTCCAAAATAACATTAATTTTTTCCCATTCTGGTCTCTTTTCTAGCTTTCCATTTTTACTGTAGCTCACTTTTTTTTTTAATTATCTGCGTAGGTTTGGAAATCGGAATCTCAACTTATCTCTTTCGTCTTATCAAAGCTACTGCTTTACTTCGGAACAGAATTCTTCGTTCAAATGGCCACTTTTCATGTCATCGTTTGGTTGCCCTAGAGACGTCCACCAAGATAAAGAAGTACATTTAGCCCTAATTTCCTCGAATGCCACTCTGACTCCAAGAGTTTCTGGATTCACTTCCCTAGCTGCCAACGCTAGTAGCTATTTTAGGAGTGATATCTGTGCACAAAGACTTGCCCCATTTATTAAACTAAAATATTAATAAAAATAGGGATTAATGATAAACAACACAGAAACGTAAGAGCGTTGTGGAAACTAAATTGCCTTGTATGGTAGCATTCACATTTCCATTGATTTTGGTTTAGAAAACTGGTAACAATCAAATTATTAATAATACTGACCCAATGATGTGTCTGTTTGTTATTATCATAGAGATTGTTTCAAAATTAGTGTCATGAAAAGCAAAATGTTTTAAAATAAACCTCTGTTTTATTTTAAACTTCATTTCTAGTTAAAACAAAGATTAGACATAGACTTGTGAATGGGTCCGTTTTACCAATAAGAATGTATACAGAGGGTTCTCAAGATAGGATAAAAATGGACTCATTACAGTTTAAAATAATTGCATTTAACAACTGCATTTCAGTCATTTAAATCATCATTTAAATGTTTTCAGTAGGGATCGGGAAGAGCGTGCGCTATGCGCAACTTGTACAATATCTAGGAAAATGGCACAGAATACATGGATACTAGTATGGGTAACGACATCAGAAAACATGGATACTAGTGTGGGTAACGACATCATAAAACATGGATACTAGTGTGGGTAACGACATCAGAAAACATGAATACTAGTGTGGGTAACGACATCAGAAAACATGGATACTAGTGTGGGTAACGACATCATAAAACATGGATACTAGTGTGGGTAACGACATCAGAAAACATGGATACTAGTGTGGGTAACGACATCAGAAAACATGGATACTAGTGTGGGTAACGACATCAGAAAACATGGACTACTAGTGTGGGTAACGACATCAGAAAACATGGATACTAGTGTGGGTAACGACATCAGAAAACATGGATACTAGTGTGGGTAACGACATCAGAAAACATGGATACTATTGTGTGTGTAACGTCATACTTTGTGAGTGAATTCTATGGCTAAAATATACGTGTGCGTGTGTGTATGGGGAGGATATCTTACCCATCGTAATGTAATCGCACATCATATAAAATCAGTGAACTTCAACTATGTTTACAGTGTATTCGATTCTCTATAAGACTTCATTGTTTGAAAGCAACAAAGTGAAATTTCCTGAGATATCTACGTTGCAACCATAAAAAAAAATCAATGTGCTTACTTTAGATCAGAGCTGGTCACACTTTGATTGTTCACACTTGCGCGCTTCCGCCATTGTGTTTATGTACAGGGCCACGTGAACAATAGTTACATATAATTCGCTCTGATGGCAGCACGTCATAACAGATGATATACAGGAGTGGCCGTCTTACCTTAATTTTCCCTACATTTTCTTTACAGTTTTTATCGTAAAATCTTTGTTTGTTTGTTTTAAATAACAACCTTATGAAGTTTCATTGAAAATAAAATTCCATTCAATAAATGGGCATGACGAAATTCTTGAATTCAATTTTAATAATCCTCTGTCTCTTACTTTTGTCCAGCTGAAACTTGAATTGAAAATATACGACCGTATTTCTGTATTTTCCAATTCACAGGTCATGCTTCTTCAGTGTCTTAGTAAAGAGGTGCCTGTTTCATTGATGAAATACAGCTGTTGAAATTCACCGTTACTCTCAAATTTGTTCATTCATTTCAGTCTCATTATTTTTTACCCTGTAGAGGACAGAAGGCAGGTAGCATTCTTATCAAAACGCCGATGAGATAAACCCTATATAAACTACATTTTACTGTAGAACTGAAAAATGCCTAAGTGCTGTCTTGTTTCTTATCACACAGGCAGCACTGATCAGTGTGCAAAACACTGTGACCAGGTGGTTTTCCTCTTCTACCTGCGCCTCGCGGTTTGGTAATCTGTATGTTTGACAAGGCAAAACAAGTGTAAACATTGTCAATACTTTATTCTGACACAGCGTTTACGTTCATTTTTATTGTCTGAAGGAAACACTGAGAAAATTAAACGAACAGCGGCAATAATCATGCTTATCTATCCTCGCGTTGACATCTAATGAGGGCTCTTCAAGACCATCTGGTCAACTTGTAATACCAGACGTATAAGGGTTTGGAGAGAAAGAATGAAAACATAGTTAATAATAGACATTTTGAAACTTATTATTCTTATAATCTTTAATCAGTAATCATGAGGACTGTAATCATGAGGACAGTATAAACGTAAGCATAGTTGGTTTTTGCTCAGTAATTTTAGGTGAAAAATCGGCCAAACCCTAAAACATTCGAATGAAGCTGAAAGTTTCAGGATATGTTTTTGAAAGGCATAAAATAACTTATTAAAAGTATCCTGATTCCAAAGGGGGCGGGGACACATTCATATTTCCAAAAACAAGCTGTAAGCCATACTGTATTTTGGTGCATTCTACTTCATTTAATAATTACTAAAAACTAAAAATGAAACAGGGTTGGAAGAAGTAGTGAATGCAAGAAAAGTATTTTATAGTTCAATAAATGCTACTAGGTGGTTCTTCTAAAAGGATTTCCTATGTTGTGTTAAAATCATTTTGAAGTCTACCCTTGTCGTTGCAGTCCACTTTGCCATGTCCTGTCATCATGCTCTATCTGAGCGATCGTATATCTTGTCAATAGCCCTGTAGCATAGTTTCCATTTCGAAAAGCTCTTTCAAGTCTAAAATATTGTCATTTCCAAAGCACTCCACTTCTCCTTGCTGTTTTCTGTAATCCACCTAGTGTACGGTGGCGTCGGTCTTCCAGTGCCTGTTTCAACAGTCAGATCGCAAAAAAATCCATCAACACCTTTTCCAGTGACTTTACTGTATGTCTTTGTATAGAATAGCATAAATACCAGATTCATTTTCCAGCTGCTTTAGGTATGCAAAAATTGAATAGGAGGTATGATTAGAAGCCTTATATTTGTGAATTTTTTACCCTGTTGCTCTCATTTCCAGACAGAATTATTTCTTGCTTAACTTGTGTATTGTTGCCTGGGACAAATAGACGGCTTTTGCCACTGACCTTTGTGAAATCTCACCTGTTCCATGATGCCGCACTTTGCTCACCATATTTAGGGTAGGACTTGTTGCAGGGTTTTTTCTGAGTACTCCTGTTTTCTCAAGTTGATCCACATTCCATTTGTTTTCCAATTAGATTAAATACAAGATATATCCCAGCTCTGAAATTCCAAATCCCTGATGTGAGTACATATTTATGATCTGGAATTCCAGAAGTTATTACTTCTATCTGATGGGTTAAAAAAATGAGGTTTATTGTGGTTTTGAAAGATCAACTTGGTCTCCGGTTCAAGTTACATCTTAACATATTTATACAAAAGGACATTTATAGAATTTTATTATGCTAAATATAAGAAATTTAAGATTCGTTAATATTAGTTTAAAGCTAGTATTTAAACGTATTTTATCTTAAGTGTGGATGTGCCAATATTGGTAAAAAAACCACCATAAAAATTCGCATATAAAAATTATAACTGGTTTATTACTTACTTATTATAAGGAAGTTTGTAATCAATGTATCATAAGTATTTATGTAGATCTTTTAAGTTAATTCTACTAGTAGAAAATATAGATTAATCTCTTAAATCATGCAGATGCAGAAAGATTGAGCAACACAGTGTCAAGTAGTTTGAAAAGCAAAATGTTTTTACTGGTAACAAATAATGAGTTGAATTCTATGTCTGTTGTTTAAAACACTTGTTTGTAATCATATCTTTAGATGGAAGGAAGACGACGTGAGAGGGTAGGTGTTATTATAACTCATTGACATAGCTTTTAATGTATAAATAAAATGAACAAAGTAATATTTTTTTCCATAACGAAACGTGTGAAGCAGACTAGAACTCGTATTTTAATAACATAAATAGCGCAATTTTCATTCTAATTCCGTTGCGTTTGAAATTTAGTTCTGTATATGATTTCACTAAAATTACATTTTCATATTTTCATCCACATACGTTAGCTGTCATGAACTCAAAAGGCTGACGACTCATTGCATTAATGAATGTGTTCCTCTGTAGGCGAAGAAAAACGATATTTGCCACCAGGTAGCGAAACAGGTGAGCACCTCCATGATTCTTTACTATTGAACCAGGCGGTGGGAGAAGAGTGTCTGTCAAATCGAGGTAAATGGTCAGAGAATGCTATTAATGGTTTTAATCCCACCGGCGGCACGTCTCAGCTGCAGCTTCTACCGAATGACCTGGAGTTTAGGCCTAGCAGTTTAACTTGCCAGATTGGCGTTTGGACTAGAGCCAAGATTTGTAAAGGATCACGATTCGGTCCTATTCCGGATATCCTTGAAACAACAAAAGCGTCTACACTGACGAGGAAGGTAACTAAATGTTAGCAGATTATTCAGTTACTTGTGTGAATCTGTACTGGTAAACAATTTGCCGCTCAAATGTTTTCACTTTGCAAAATGATTTTATAAATATTAGAAAAATTGAAGACCTTATGAGCGGTCCACCTGAGAGGATCGAGGTTATCATATATATTTGTGTTTTTCTATCTATATACTTTTATCATATTTGGTTTGGATCGTCCTGAGTGTTAACCTCGGGTCAAATAATTATGATCTAGTTTAAAATATTTTACAGCACAAAAGTAACAATGGACTTTAGAATTACAGAATGTTCATAATCAAATATTTTATGTTTCACAAAAATGTTCTACAGAAATTACTTTTATTTGAAAACCTACCAACTAAACTATTATCGCTTTGATTTACTAATTTTCAAGCCAATTTCCTTTGTCATTTCTTTTTGTTCACTTATTAAACCTTTGCTAAAATACAGAGTGCCAATCTCAGTATATAAAAGCGATTTACATATGCTAATGTAGTATCGAATCGTCGCAGATACAAGTTGCAGTAACATGGGCGACATGTTTTGTACCTATTTAGTTGTCTCACAGTAAATTCCAAACCATTTTACCGTAAAATTCTAACAAGGTAGATTTATGGCTAGATATATATATCACAGTCCTTTGAAATAAAATTGTTTATATAGCGAGATTGTTAAATGAGACAGAGCCAAAGCATTTCCAAGAAGGGGTTGTTATGTAAAACATGAGTTAAGGATACCTGCCAATGTCTACAGATAATGCAACCAGTTGGCAGTACCAGCGCCAACTCTTGGGCTACTCTTTACCAACGAATAGCTCCAAGGAGGGAGCTTTCAATGTTTTCCATGGAATCACAAAACAACAATCGCAAATCAGAGCTTTTAGGACAACAACTGGCTCTGAAATCATACCCCTACGCAATACGAGACAATGCCCTCATCCGAAAAGAGAAGGATATAGATACAAAAGAGGATCGCCCGACCTAAAACGTTTCTTCACTGAAGCTGGACATATCTCCTTTTACCTCTAACAAGATGATGAACAAAGGTTTAGAACTGACGAAGGCTTATAATCCAAAGTTCACAACCCTCTTGCCAAAATCAAACTCAGTTTGCAAGAGAAATATATCCGAAGATCCAATAAAATGTGATTTTTGTTTGCTTAAAAGTTGAAAGCCGAAGTGTAGGACCATGGAGGGTCTGTGGAAAGACTATCAAAATGTGCAGCTTAAGACTTATTTCATCTTTTTTTACGCAAACTTGTTACAATATTGGGCAACAGTGCGTAATAATAATCATCTTAAAACTGAGCACGACTAAGGGAGGTTTTTAGGTTATTTGTTTCGGAAAAACGTGTAAAGTTGTAAAAGGACTATTTATATATTGTCTTCCCTATTGTTAAGCTGGTAGACTAAAAATAAGACAGATAGTCAACAACATCTACTATCAACTATTTAGGCTACTTGAATAAAATACTTGGATTAGGCTGTCACTCTTATAACGCACCCACAACCTCAATGTTTGCTGAATCATATTAACCATTGGACCACAGCCGGCCCAATATCAAAGAAGTAATGAAGTGGTTTCAAGGACAACACCTGGAATAGTGGTCTTATAAGTTGCGATTAACCATCAGTGATCTAGATTAGTTCAACAACTTAATCTGGTTCACACCGAAAAAGTTGTTGTTCAAACAATTCGTGTCTCAACCACTAATATGTCGTATTCCAGCTAGTCTGATAAGTCCTGGTGTTAGACGAAAGACTTCGTGGGCACTGGATATGGCTTGATTGACATATTACATTCTTTTTTACTTTCACTCATACATTCATATATGATTTACATTACATATAGCAATGGCAAGTTGAACCACCTACAAACTTAAATTATTCTTTTGCTGTAACTCGAAATGTTAGAACAAGCAGATTTTACCCCAAAATTCAGCTTGATCCCTGTGTTTTGTCGGGATTGTTTAGTGTCGTGATCTCTGACAGTATAAAGGAAGAGCCGGTGTGAAACCCATGTAGTCATTTCATCTGCTGTCTCTGACCACATGTTCCACTCGAGCGCTAACCCCGAGAAGACGAGGAATAACAGCGTACAACGTGTCAACCGTCGTCGGTGGTCTCAGGCTGAGTTCCGCAGGAAAGTCCCCAAAGAAACTCTGCTCAGTGTCCAATTTATATGTGAAGGGCTTATTCTGTAATATGTTGCTTGAAAGAGTTTGTTTGTCACTATTCAGTTTTTATCAGAAAAAGCAACCCCATAATACAGGGAAGGTTAAAATAGTATAATCTGCTGTCTTCAAATCAAAAATCTGGTTCAATGTTTTCCTGGAATTTCTCACCTGACCTGAACAGATAAGTTGATAGATGAATAAATGGACGAGCGAACGGACAGATATTGGATCAATAGTGAATTTATAGTATACTTAGTTAAACCAAGTTTAAAGGAATGTTACTAGTTCTGTGATCTTCATTCTAACCAAGTGTTTCGTTCAATTTTTCTGACTACCGATTTGGTCGTGTAGCGTTAAGAATATTTATAAAAACTAAAACGTCACTCTCTCTATGAACTATAAAGTACCCTAAGAATTGAATTGGTAAATACGGAAAATATTTCTCAAATGAGGTATAAAACTGAGAAACTCGCATAGACGAGGTTTTTACTCCTTTTTAAACTTTGCATTTAAGTGATCGTTTCTGTTATTTTTTATTAACTCACGTACTTTGTAGTATGTAGATATTTGAAATTTGCAATAATGTAGTAACTGAGCTTTCATTACACCATCCTTTCAGTAAGAACAGCAGTTCATCTCTTTCTTTTAGTTCGTCATGCTCACATTACGTTTCTGTTATTTTTGGTACCAGGTTCCATCCTTTTTGAACTTCTTTATTTTGAGATTTTATAACTCATTCAATTTCGAATTTGATATCCAAAAGATCACATCACTTTCCAGTATTCAGAATCTACTCTTCGCCTCATCCTTGCAGGTGTTCTTCATGTTACGTATTATCCCTTCTGTGTATGAGGACCTCACTATACCTCACGTATTTATAACTCCCCTTTTCAGTTCTTTGAGTTCCTTTAACCCGCTATTTACTCTCATAATTTCTAAAATAAAGTCAATATTTCCCTTACTAATTTCTCGTGAGAAAAAAACAACAAAAAGATGTTAATAAACTCTAGAAGGTCATATGTTTTACTGCTAACTTTACGTTCTGCGTGACAACAGCCTGAAAGCAGTAATCTTGACGTCATGAATTCCGTAAATCCGGTAGAAACTATATAAGTTTAATCTTAACATTTACGCTGTCCAAAGTGTGAGGTAGATCGTGTTGCTGCATAAAAACAAAGCAAACACGAAATCTCCACATATGAGTACTTAGGAAGAAAGGAGAGAGAACCCAAATTTACATCAGTTTTAAAATCATCAGATAGACGAACGATACAACTGAGGCAAATGGAATGAGGAGAAGGCGTAGTATTATCAACATAAAGCAGGAAGGGCGTCGTTTCACGAGACCACGTGAGGTTGATGTGTACTTACAAGGAAAGGATGTACCGACAAAGTTACGACGTGCACGTGCCTGTGCATCAGCAAGTAAACCAAGAAAATCGTTTGTGAAAACAAGATTATATAAAAGTTGATTCACATGCACTTGAAACAAACCACCGCCTACAAAGAGATATAGATAGATAAAAAGCTGGATGTTATTTAACACGTCGTGGTATTGCACATTTAAGTATGGCTTATCTTTGTAAAATCAAGTCAGTTCTTATGGAGAGGTTTGAAAATGTACATATAGTACTTGTCACTAACGGATATATTCATTGTACACGTAGTACGTGTCGCTAAGATTTATATTCATTGTACGCAAAATAAATGTCAATGAAGGATTTATTCATTGGATGTTAACGGGCTTATTCATTGTACACGTAATATTTGTCACTGATGGTTCTTTTTACCACACGTAATGACCGTTAACTCAAACGATTCGTGATTATACAGCTAACAGAAAATATAGTAACTAAAACGTATTACATTTAATATGTGATTTAGTTGTTAAATTTTATATCGAAATCTTTCTGTAGATTTTCTTCTGAAATTTTCGTTTACTTGTACGACGTTTTCATCATTGTTGAGTACAAAAAATTTATGTCAAAACGTAACTAAATTATTTTTGTATTTTAAATGCTGATTTACCAACGTGTAGTTGGTTATTCAATAGAATTTCTAATCACGTATAAAGGTGATGTTATAAATGTTTTTTTTTATTATTATTTTGTGTGTTTATGTTTCAGGGGTTTTGTTAAATTGAAAATAATCTGAAGATATGGTAATTGAAAATATACAGAGGGGTGATTGAGTGTTTAGTAGGTTCGTTATAGTAAATTAGTAAGGCTTCTCCAATACTCCTTTTATTAATGTTTGGTTCGTGTTTTAATACGGTGAAAGTTTTGACGGAAAATTTATGGTTGTTTTTGCTCAAGTGTCCATGTACTTGAGAGGGAGGTTTTGGTGTGTTTTTATTTGTGCATTTAATTTGCCTCGTGTTTAACCCGTGTAAAAGGCTGGGCAGTTGTTGTGTTGTAAATGTTTCCTGGGGGTTGAGTTCGTTCTATAACTTTTTTTTGCAAGTGTTTGATTTTTATTTCTGGAGTGAACATAAATATAATTATTATCTCCAGGTCACGCTTTTATGTCAACTTTTTCCAGGTTTACAAACACCATTCATTTTCTATAAAAGTAGTGATGTTTGTAATTAAGTTCGGTGAGTTCTGCTGTGTTTTTAATTATATTTGACTGTCTGTTAATATTATTTTGTCTGAGTTATTTTTTTCTTTCACTTTTTTAAATTCATTTACGGTTTATATAACTATTTTAGAAGGGAACTGGTTGATGTTAATGAAATATTGTAATAAATGTTAATTTCTTCGTCAATGCTTTTGTCGATGCATATTGTATATGTTAGATGTACGTAGCCCTTTAATATACATAGGTATTGCTGAATTAATGGTAAGAAAACCGTTTTATGTTTTTCTAGGGATCTTTGTGTTGAAACCTTGCAGAGGATCGTGCACTGTTTACGTTTAGAATTTGTATTTTGAAGTTATTTTGACTTTCAGCAGTGAAATTTATGTTTTATACACGCTATTTATGTGTTGGGAGGAAAATGTTTGTTCATTTCTGTTTTCAAACCCATAGAAAACATCGTCTAAAAAATCAAAACCAAAACGAAGGTTTTTCTAAGGATGTGTTTATGGCATATTGTTCAATTTAATACAGGAAAACTGTGACTAATGTTACTGATAGGGGATTACCCATACAGCTGGAGAAAGTACGACCATTTGTACGGAAAGCAAATGGCTGTACGGAAAGCAAATGACTGTAAGAGTTCGATTAAATTCTCTGGTTTCGGTTTTTTGAGTTTGGTAAAATAACTTGTGTTGTATTGCTTTTTTTGGCGGAAGGTATTAGGTGAATAAATATACACAATTGAAAGTATGTATAGTGATATTACTGTCTAGGCTTTGTAAATATTGAGAAAGTGTGAAGTGTATTACATTTGCGAGTTTATTACAGAAACGTTAAGTTTCAATAGCAAATTCAAGTTTTTGCTGAGATTATTGTCAAAGAGTTGTAAGAGAACATAGTTAGATGTGAAGTTAGTGGGTTATTCTTGATTTTAGGTGTTCTTGGTTGGTTTGTGGGTGGAAACTACATAAAATTGGTTTTTTAACCGTGTAATAAACCCCAAAAAATTAGGCACACCTAAAGACCCTTCTAAATCTAGCATATTACCATATGCACCAAGAACAACATGACAAGTAAAAATCATGAATTCCAAACCCAAACGAAGCTCATTACGAGCATCGTTCTTTATGTAGAAAATGTTAGGATACCTATAATGTAGAAAAAGTTCATACGAGAGCATGAACTCGATATAACAACTAGATTCGTGTTCACTCCAGGAATAAAAGTCAAAGTCATGCTAAGAAAACTATACTTTGAACCCAACCCTCAATAATAATAATAATTTATAATACAACAACTACCCTACTTTTTACACAGGCCGAAAATTAGACGTACGAATAAAAACCTCTCTATCATGAATAAAAACAAAAGTGTCATCATATTAAATATGAATCAGACATTAACAAAAGAAGAGTTATAATATACTTGCTATTTAAACCCAATGAGCCTAATACTACCAAACACCTAGGCACTCTCTGTATATGTTTAATTATCATTTCTTTAGATAATGTTTAACCGAACTAAAGTCCTGATACACTCACACATCCAAGGAAAAACTGTAGCATAATCTTACACTCGAGTAGAAATTCTGTAAAACAACTGTTCATTAATAGATTTGTGCTTAAAATACAAAAGGAACTTACTTCGAATTATGTTATACGCAAAGCTTCGTGTATTTGACAATGATCGCACCAGCGACGGAAACGTTGTACAAATAAAATAAAAAAAAATCAGAAAACAGCCTACTGAAATACCGTGCTTTCATCAGATATATTTAACGTGTCAAAATATTGTGTTCCCGGATGATAAAATACTGAGTACGAACCTGAGTTTATGACTCTTGGTTGAGTCTGTGTGAAACCAACAAATATTTCTACAACTGTTGCTTCCCACTTAAATACTTGCAAGGGTGATAACAACGGAAGGGATAAAAACCGTTGTTATACGTAGCTATGCTGCAGTAATGTACATTCGCGCGAATAACAGAACACCTTATTTCCTTTCTAAATAATACACACGACGCGAAACAGACAACAAACAAGACATTCATGAAACCGAAAAAAAAGAAAGAAAATAATCATTGTCTGATGAATAACTAATAAATAAAATTCAGATTAAAATCATTTTTATACACTAATTTACCCCTTCAACTCTTCAACACTAAGATAAATTTGTGTATGATTATGTATATCGCTTTCAGTAATACAATTAATGTGTGAGTTGCATCATCTTTTGTTGACTGTGGCATTCTATTGCATCACGTTCCACATTTTAAAGTAAACTATTAATGAAAATAATAAAGTTAAACACAGAAAAACTGCTAATACGAAATTTTATATTTCTATTTATTTAAGACTACACTTTATATTGATATGTGTCTAATATATGTATCAAAGAATGATATGCTTAATCGTGGGTGAAGCACCGATTGAAAACTCTGCAAAAGCTGTTTTTATGTAGAAAAATCTTAGATATATAAAATTAGTCAAATACACATGCGTGAAAATAAATAAAAAACACCATATGCTATACATATGACTTAGACAAAAAAAGTAACATTTGGAGTAGATATAAAACAGAATTACACGACACTGGCGTGAAAAAAAACTTACGAATAACCTATTATTTAAACAGATCCTTTGTCACGACCAGAAATACAAAATATTATTGGACCTTAGAAATAATCATTGGACTCGTCTCGTGCGGCTGGCTAATGGAACGGTGGCCAACAACACCTGTTTCGTTGTTGAAGATGGAAAGGTATTTACTCAGAGCCGTGAACTAATAGTTAATTGTTTAGTTTATTCATTAAAAAATAATGGAATAATTTAGAATATCGCGAATTTATCAAATAATGTACTCATAGTGTAGATTATATTTTAAGTGTGTTTTTTGAATTTCTATAAGTAAAGGAAATAGTTTGATGTAGATAAGAGTAATATTATAAACTTTTCTCATATGATAACACGTGTTTTGTTTTGTTTTCTGATCGAAAATTTAGTTTAGCAATATGGTTAGGGTACTCAACCCGCAATTTGCGGGCCCCGGGTTCGAACATTGCACTATTCGTTGGTGAAGCGTATCCCAAGAGTTGGCGGTGGGTGGTGTTGACTAATTGCCCTCCCTCTAGTCTATCACTTCAAAATTAGGGACTGGTTGTACGGCTAGTCCTCGAGTAGCTTTGAGAGAAATTCAACAAACAAACATAGCTGACGTATCCGTTCTATGGACGCTACCTGTCTCAGTCAATCCCACTATTCGTTAGTAAAGAGTATCCTAAGAGTTGGCAGTGGGTGGTGTTGATTAACTGCTCTCCCTCTAGTTTATCACTTCAAAATTAAGGATTGGTTGTGGGGCTAGTCCTCGAAAAGCTGTGCGCGAAATTAAACAAACAAACAAACAAAGCTGACGTGTCCGTTCAATGTACGAGAATACATAGGGGCCCTTAGGGGTAATACAAATGGATCAAACCTGAGTGCCAACTTTCCTATGTCATTCCACTGGAGACCTCTAAGGATACATTCCACGTTTGGTAACAATCGATTTAGCAGTTTTGCCACTTATAAGCATACAATATACAAACGGACTTTTGTCAAATAATAGTTTAGATCATAGATAAACATAAAACCTGCTTTTAGAAATGATGCATGGCATTGAATAGAAATTATAAATGACAAACAACAAGCATTGAAACATGCTGCCAACGCTATAACTATTTGCACAAATTGAATGTCTTCAAGTCTAAGCTGCAATTTAATTTTTGCAATAACTTGTTCACAACATATCTAATATATCATATGCAAAAACATTAAACGTTTAGAGCTTGTATAGGCATTATTCTAAACTCTTTAAAACTGAAACATTCATTTAAAATTGAATGTTTAAAATTTGTTCAGAATTAAACTGTTTTTAATAGACAATACATTATTTGAAACTGAAATTCAGAAATTCTGCTGCTTTATACCGAGGCTTAAAACAAAGCTCATATTCATAACTGAGGCGTGTGCATTTTATAGTAAAGTCACATATCTGCTTTGTCCACCAAGGAGAATCGAAACGCTGATTTTAGCGTTGTAAATCTGTAAACTTACCGCTGTCCCACCGAGAGACCGTAACTGAAGCACAGAATTTCTATTCTTCTGTGAAGAGGTTTAGAATAAAAACAAAATTCCAAAATGAAATTTAGAGTTTCTGATGTTTTACAACGAAGTTTACAATGAAAATGAAATTGAAATATGAGGCGCTCAGAATTTTTGGTGATATATAATGAGGTTAAAAATGTTCAGTGCTTTGTACTGGACTTCTTAAGCTTAGGTGTTAATAAATTATATAGAAGTATACTGATCTTCACACACACACACACACACACACACTGAATTGAGTTCAGGAATAAATTAAGCTTTTATCAAATTGCCAACAATATCGGCAAAATAATATATCTGGTCATATGTCAGAATTTTGGCGAAGACAATGAGTGTAGACGTATACGTAATTGCATAATTTTCCCCAAAGGAAGCCGAAGGCCGCCTAGAGGGGTTACCTGTTTTAACCACTCGCACCATTATACAATAATGTGCTATCTGTCAGTCAGCCATTAGACACTAATATGACTTCACATAATGGAGGCTTAATGTTGCAACTTGTACTGTCGTGACGTCAATACAACTTGCACAAGCCATGAATCACGAGAAGAATTATGCACTCTGTAGGCTACAACACAGTATGACATATGAACTTCAAAAGCAAGAATTATAAATATTTGTTACTCTTAATTTTGGTTTTATTAACTCTTGAAGCAGAACACTTTCGGGGCCCAGTTGTTTTTAAGATTTTTCTAATACTGCAAGTTTCCTTTCATTCCCACAGCTTTATCTGGAGGTTTCATTAGATTTAGGAGAATCAACGGAATTGATTTTATCAGCTGAAGAAACTGTTCCCGAACGAAGAGAATTAGATTTGACGAAACATAAAATCCTTTCTGAAAACAATCGTAAGTCATCCAAAAAACATTTGTTGAATAAAAATAGAACGGAAGAAACAGTAAATGAACACTATGATTTACATAAGAAAACGTATTAAATGTTTCCAATACTTTGAGGCCCTGATTTCTATGATGAATCTGGTTTTCAATTATTTGTAAGTAGTTGTTACAAATTTAGACACTTGACAGATCTTTCTTTTAATTACAGGTAAAGACTTTGCTGGTTCTACGCATTACACCACTGTCAACAGCATTATCAGTGAAAATCTATCACAGTCATTTAGCCAGGAAAGTCAAGCTTATTCCCACCTCATCAAATCACTATCTATGCGGACTGAAAATAGAGATTCCTTACAAACCAAAGAAGAGCAGTTCACTGAAATGGGAGCAGAATGGAAATGTAACTATCTCTGTCATGAGCAAAGGTAAGATTGGATTCATAGAACATACTGGGTAACGCAGTAGATTTTTTTCTGTCTCTTTCCAAAACATACGTAAATTAGAAATTACTATGAGGAGATATCGAAGACTATTTTGAGATAGTAACCAATTCTCCATTTCTATTAAAGTGACTGGATATGTATGCTAATAAATAATATGATCCATGTAATATTGAAGGCAACATATATCACTTATTGAAAAAAGCAGTATTATAAGAGTCTTTTATGTTTATTGTGCTTTTGAATACTGAATATGTTTGTTTCTCCATTGAATTGGAGTCCTTTTACATGAGGTGTTGTATATAGTGTATTTGCTTTCCTTGGGTCCTTAGACAGTTTGGTGTACACTAAGATCGTACTGTGTTGCGACTTCTGAAGGTTGTTTTCCATAAAAGAAGGTAGTACGATATATATATATATAAAACAATGAGAGTCAAGATGTTTAAAATAATTGATCTGGGTGTATATTGATAATGGATTTTTGAAAAATTTCCAAGGAGGAAAGAAGTGTAAAAAAAAAGACAAATAACCAGTTAACTTGATAATTTGGAAGGTGAATATTACATAAAATAAACTTATTGGAATTAGAAATAGGATGATGAGAAAAACAATCTCTTAATCGTATGTATATAAACTAGATATCAATTAATTACCCTAATGTACCGGTTCAGATGTGATAATGTAATTAGGCACTTGATACAGAGCCTCATTTAGCAAGACGACTAACTTTGGTAAAGAGATGGCGGATGCAGACAATGAAGTTGGACAGCGATTTGTGGTTACCTAAAGAAGACAGGAATTCCTTCATCTATAACAGCAGTTTGAAAGTCTGGGTTTTCAACGTGCCGTTACCTAAAGCAGCACAAACTAAGGCACGGCAATGTCTGTGCAGAATTTGAGGGATGAAATGTCAGGAGTAGAACTTTACCCGTCGAACGTCTTCAAAGTGAGTAGTTGAAGCAACGACGTGATCTGTTGTTTAGAAACAGCAGTATGACTTGGAGAGGACATGGGTTGAACTAAAGACATTGTTGCCTGGCTTGAAAAGGAGTTACATCTGAGTTTTTGGTTAGCTCTTATTCAATGATTTAAACAAGATGGGTTGGTTTCTTCTTCAGTAACTAGGAGATTACAATGGCAGGCTTGGAGTAGGGCATGGTGTCATTCAGGTATTAAAGTATCATGGGTGGCCTGGTTCCATATTTAGTAGGTTGGTTTTACCTTTTTCTTAGACCTTCCAAAACATGAAGCGTTAGTGGTGTCTGTACATCGGAAATGACGCGAAGAATATTCAAAACAGCAAGAAGTAGGAAAAACAGCGAAAAAAGTAGGTTATGGGAACAAACGAAAGTTAGTTCTAAAAAGAACTGTTAGAACAATCCAGTAAAACTGAGATCCGTTAAAAAAGGCGGAAGAAATTGCACTAAAAATAACGACCTTGTTTGAACGCAGCGCTCATAAACCGTTATTGAAGTCAAACATCATGAGTTAGATGATAAAGAGTTGCGGAGTGAGAAATCCCGAGAATGTAGAAGAAAAATTTGAAACTTTGTGCTATCTGTACTAGCCATATCACCAGCAACTCTTGGACTTCCCTTTATCGACGAAAAGCGAGAGTAACCGTCAGGTTATAACGCCCCTAAGACTGAAAGGGCGAGTATGTTTGATAATGGGGTTTGATTCCACGACCCGCAGGCTGCGAGTCGAGCGCCCATCAGGCCATGCTAGGCAAAGGTGGATTGAAACAATGGAGAAAGCAGCATTAAAAATAGCTCCATGGTAAAAAGGTCATATGACGTCATCAGTGTCAAGTTAATGCTTGGGTTGAATGGTCATATTTTAGTTGTTTTTTGTGTTCTTTGAAATAGAAAGGAGCTCACATGTAGTTGAAATTTATACCTTTAACGAGGTTCGCGGTCGGTTTGAGAGTTGATGAAGAAGGCTTTTTTCAGTCACTCCAGTTTCCAGTGTTTTGCGTAATCAGGAATTTGATATTGATTCCAGTTGATAATATTACCGTGTTGTACTTATGTCAAAGAAAAAAATGTTTTTACAGATAATACAGTAGTCTGATGGCACTCTGATATTTTTTATGCTCTAAAATATTGTTATTGTAGTTTCTTGATAGAAACAATGTAACTTATACTTAATATTCACCTGTTCATCTCTGCAGGTCTGGTTTTTAACTTTTGTAAATTTTGGGTGTTAAAGTGTGGAATAAATTAAAGGATGATAGTGGTTAGCATATTCATTTGAGGGTTTGATAGGGTATAACCATTTTTCCAAGAGATTTGGATAAAACTGTAAGGATAGTTATTGCTTTGAAATACTTATTTTTCTTTTCGAAGTTAACTTTTATAACAGAGGTCACTATTCCACTCGTTTTGCATTTATGGCAAATCTACTAATGCTATCTGCTTCGTCCCTAATTTCGAACTAATGATCGTAGGGAAGGAAACAAGTCAGTAGCAACCTACTGTCCATACTAAGAGATTCAGCGTTACTCTTATAATGCGCCCACAGTTTAAAGTGTGAGGAACATTTTGTAGCATTGCGCGGATTCGAATATGGTTGCCATCTCGAAATCCGTAGCCCTAACACTTTAAACAGAGAGAGAGAGAGTGGTTACACGACAAATGTAGATACTCACCAAAGTGCGTTGTTTTTGTTTTTTTTGTAAAAAAAGAATATGTATTGTGAGGCAATGATCATGTCGGTGGAGGAGAATATCTTAGAAACAAATGGTAACATTTTCTTCAGATTGCATGATAAACTGAGTTGTCTTTTCACAGGAGTTGAGAAGTAGTAGAAAAGTTATTAAGAATATACGAAATGTGGGGCCAAGAATGTGTCGTCAATGTACCCTTTTCTCGGTATTGGTTTCAGGGGCAAACTATAAAGCTCTGGTTTCAATATCTTTCATATATAAATCATTGAGGCCGGTTGGGAGAAGAGAATCAATGGGGGAAGCTGGTTTGTCGTTTCAGTGAAGCGTCTTCAGAAAGTTATTTTCGGTCAATAAATACAGCTTTGTTGACTGGGATACTAGATTGTAGAATAGAAAACCTATGGCATTGATAATTGGTCTGAAGTGAGTAGCATGCTGTATCTTGGGTAATCCGAATAGCTGCGGTGAACTGCTAAGTTGAGAGGTGACATTGATGACTTTTTCAGGTTTACGTTTCTTGTGGCGTATTCCAGTTTGCTCTTTGAGTCTTTTTCCAAGAGTTTATATGAGACATTCTGAAGGAGGATGTGCAGTTTTTCATGGAATTGTGATTTTTTTACTATAACAGTCGTATCTCCCTTGTCAGTTTGGAGAATCGCGATAGACATGGTCGTTTTAAGTTTTTTATGACTGTTTTATCCTGGTTACTTACGTGGTGGTGATGATGTAAGGTAGTGCAAGTTTATAATCGAAGCTTATTTCCATAGATGTTAGGGGTTTCTGGGAATAGCTGCGATGGTGTCAATACGAGGACTTTTTTCGGAGCTAGAGAAAACTTGAAATCAAGAGATATAACTCTTTCTTCAGTTTTTTAAAAAGTTTTTTGAACTTAGGTTTAGAATCTTGATTTGTTAGAGGGTTGCAGTTTGACCTTTTTCTATCAAATGCTTTTCGAGGTTCTGAATATGTGTCAACTCATGATATCCTGAGGAAAGACTTAGGGGTCTCTCATTGAAACTGAAATTTTTAGTTTGCTCTTCTGAATAGAGGATCTGAGAAACTAACCAAGTAAGCTATTATCGGCTAGTAAGAAGATGCTTCTTCTTTTTTTCTTTTGTCTGTAAAGATCAGTGATAACTGGAGAATTTTGTTAAATTTTTGGGAGGAAATAAGGGGATATATCTGTGATCTAAGACATTATGTGATGACTTGGAGAGCTCTGCATCTTAATAAGAACACCGGATAGCTGCTGACTCTGGATGGTTTGAAAACGAAGTGGTTATAGTTATTAAGAGTTTTCACTAACACTGGTCCGAGAAACTTTAGGTAGAGGACACTTTTATGGACTATATATCTGTTTGTTAAGTCAAGGATGACGCTTAGAACTACTCAAATTAATAGGCAGATGTGGTCCATTGGGTTTCACTCGAGGTGTTTGAAGAAGAGGTAAGTGAATTTATTTTCTTTCAATAAGCGAACGTCCTTAGTAAATGAATGTTGGTATGAAATGTGTATAGCTGTGCGATATCTTGAGAACGTTTCCTATTGTATTATTTATTCATAGATGGATGTTATTAATATCATTCTGTGTATTATGTTTGATCTAATCTTGTAGCATGGCTTTGTTATGTTTCTAAGTTAATAACTGACAACATGGAGTGTTGACAGATAATTAAATTATGAAGATAATATGGTTATTTGTTTTAGTTAACTTACAATTAACATGTTCTAAATGTTTTCATTCCTTACAAGTTCCTTGGCCGTAGCGAGTCATTATGTATGTACGGTAAGGTTGTAGCGATCGGATACGAGTCGTTGTCATTATAAGTAACCTATATGAATACATAATTTTAATTATTAAGTTGTTACAAAGTTTTTACCAGTTCCTGAAATATTATTGGATAAAATGTGCTTAAAAAAACACTTTTTTTTAACACACGTGTATGCAGAGTGACTGTAAAGAGATCTCTATATTTAAAACGATAGCTTAAAAATTGCTTTTTTTAGGGGAGATAAGCACATTTGAAATCACACCTTTTGTTTAAAAGAATATGGACATGATGTGATGTGTTTCGAAAAACATATTGAACACCTCCTATGACAATTTAAGAAATATCCTGTTCATCTCCAGGCTTTCCTAAATAAAATTTAGGATTTTTAATGTGCTTCTATGACAATTTAGTCTTCTTTGTGTAAATAGTTTTAGGAAATAATAGATTCGATGTGAGGTTTTCTTTATGCCTTATTGTACATATATATATAATTTAAGCTTTATGGCTTTAGCAAGCTTACATGCTAGAGTGCGATACTTAAAAAAATATATTACAAAACACATAATGACGTAATTACTTCAAATTTATTCTTTTCTAGCTGGAATGACCTTTTTTCTCAGAGGCGTGGTAATCTGGAACAGAGTGACAAAAGATACAAATGCAACCAATGTTCAAAGCTTTTCAACTGGAAAAGCAACTTAATTCGTCACCAGGTGTCACATGACGATTCTCGCCGTTACGTGTGTGAGAGCTGCAAAAAAGTGTTTACCGACCCCAGCAATTTACAGCGCCACATTCGTTCTCAGCACTGCGAATCCTGCTTTAATTCCTGTCTTGAGTGCGGAAAGACTTTTGCAACCCTTAGTGGCCTTAAGCAGCACACACACATTCACAACAGTGTCAAATCGTTTCGCTGCGAAGTTTGTTTCAAAGCTTACACCCAGTTTTCGAACTTGTGTCGACACAAAAGGATGCATGCTAGCTGTCGTTTGAAGATCAAGTGCCACAAATGCACACGACCATTTTTAACTGTGACATCATTATCAAAACACAAAAGATATTGTGACATTAGAGGGTGGACGTCCGTTCATAGTCCATCAATATATTCTCCTTCGCTTAACAAAGTATCTTATAGTCAAAGTCAAAATTTCAGAAAATCTTCAAATTCATTGAATTTAAAATCTCAAGCAAACAAGTTTTTGCATAGTCCAAAGTTTCTCCTTTGTCCCTCCTCCATATATAAATACCCATTTATCCAATGGGGGAGCTTTTCTACATCATCATCCACGCAAAAAAATCACTTCACTAACAAAAATAACCTAGAATTTGTACAACAGAAAAGTTCTGGATGTTCAATAGCTTCAGAGGAACTGGTATCCGTTAGTAATTTGAACGAACTACCTTTTCTTGAGGATGAACACATCAACGATGAGAAAAATATGAAGCTCTCTTTAATCCGCCAGAAGTACAGTGCAGATATGTTAGTTAGTTCAGATCCATATATTCACATTGACAAACCACTAGAGAACAAGAATGATAAGACTACAGTGATGACACCGATCTTTCCAAATTGTAAAGGTCTAAATAGTTTTTGTGAACTTTCTCAGAAAAACTTCTGTCTACACGCAGAAAAAACGAGCGAAACTTCTGACCAAATTGAAAACACGCATCTTGATGAGCCTCTTGACCTTCGTATTTCTAAGACAAAAAACTCTTCATATGACGATAAAGAAAAATATTTTTTGATTAACAAGATGCTAAAGCCTATCCCAAGCAAAACTGAAGAAATGGCATTGTCAATGAACAAAAAACCGAAACGAAACAATACTAATACTGATGAGTGCACAAGTACCACAGAACAGTTTACTCAACCAACGTCTCCAGTCGCCTTTCGACGATTTGCACCCCCATTGCTTTCAGATAATATTAAAAGTATTCAGTACACACATCCGTTCTTTCCAAGTACATCTAAACTGGAAGCACTATGTTACCTAAGACATTCCCTTTTGAAACCAGGCGTGTCTTCTTTTGATCTTTGGAAATGTCGAATCGACGAAAATGGTAACCAAACTGTTAAAATAATTTCTCAAGAGTTACATAAAATTAGTGATCGTTACTCTTGTAAATTCTGTGGTAAACTGTTCCCCCGCTCTGCTAATCTTACGCGCCATCTTCGAACTCACACAGGTGAACAGCCGTATACTTGTAAATATTGCCAAAGATCGTTTAGTATCTCCTCCAACCTTCAACGTCATGTCCGAAACATCCACCACAAAGAAAAGCCGTTCATCTGTTCATTGTGTGATCGTAACTTTGGGCAGCAGATCAACCTGGATCGACATTTGAAGAAACATGAAACCGATGGGACAAAATTTTCCCAAACATTCTCCGAAGCATGATGACGATAATTATGGAACTCCGTTTGACGAAATTTGGAACATCATTGAGAAAATCACCGATCTCAATACCAAAGAAAAAAAACAATATCATGCAAAAACTGGATCTATAAAATTTCATTAATAGATCTAGTAGATGTAGATATATCAGCGAAACAAGAAGAAGCTTCAAAAGAAGACAAACTCTGTGTGACGAAGAATACTGCTAACCAGTCTCTCATTCAGTCCAAAAAGTCTATTATTACTTCTGGTTCAAGATGCTTGATTCTTTTGGTTGACATCAAACACAGAATCATCAAAGGTCTTTTTAATATTAAATAAGATAATGTTGAAAAGTGTCAACGAAAGAAATCAGTGGACAATTATTGAATACCACAAAACTATCATAATATTGTTCAGAACTACCAGAGTATTGTTGAGAATCTTCAGGACTTTCTTTCCTCCACTTGGTGTGAAAATATCACCGTGGCATGTTTCTAAATGAAGATATTTTACAAATCCAAAAGAAATGAGGAACAATTGACAAGAAGAACTTACAAAATTTTCCATATAAGATGGCCGTTTCTTAAAAATTAAATGAAACATAGATAGCTCTTAATGCATCAGAGCATCTAATATCTACTGCAGTTCAGTAGACGTCTTGTAAAGCACACTAATTGTATTTTTTTTGTTATTTTTGAATTTGCTCTTGGACTGCAAGCCTTATCCTCAGGGCGTAGCTCGAGATTTGATCATATTTTGTCTGAAATAGAAGTTAATGTTGTTAAAATACAGGACATTATCAGATGAATTATCGTGTTTTATAAATACCGAAAGCTGATCTGCGATTTACAAGTGTTAGCTTATCACGACACTTGAATGTCATGCTATAGTGTCGTTCTTCAAAAGGATGTTGATGTCGGATTTAATAACATGCAATGTGTCCATTACGTATTACAAGCAGAAATAGTAAATAACGTTCTCAAAATTAAACACTTTGTTTTTAAAATTTTAGTCCGAAAAAGATATTAAAATGATAATTTCTACCTTTAATGCTTTGATTTTGCACTAAAGTCTGACTTAACAGAAATATGCATAAGATTTTCGTATTTAATATAAAACACGCGAGCAAGTTAATCCTACTTATCAGAAAACGTTACCACATGCTGCATTTTAACTATGGTATATTTGCATAGGTAATGAAACATGTGCAATTTGAAAAACATGGAATAAATATATATATATATATTTGTTTGGACGTCAAAAGTTGAATGATATCTTTTATTGTTTAAAAAATCATTATTCGTCATTGTGTATACAACTGTTGCATCTCTGTGGTATAGAAACAGGCTGGATATTACTTATTGATTTGTTATCGCAGACAAGAAATTGAGCTATTATAAAATCGTGCATTTATTATAAAGTAACAACAATCACCCATGTACCTCACGGGAACCTTCTTAGTATGTTTTTAAATATTTTGTATGATTTTTAGTGTCTAATATATGTCACTTTACGATGTTTTCATATATTCAAATAACTCATTAATTGTGCGGCTGGTATAAATTTGTTTGTGATACTTTATTACTTGATACTGATAAATGTTACCCATGTGTATAGAAAACATTTGGGTATCCATTCAAATTGAAATTGACCTCAGCATAGTGTTAGATGTGATTACCGAAATGTTACACCAAAAACTTCGTCTCGACGAAAACTCTTCAAAAGCTTGTACTTTGGCAAACACATTTTACGGAAAACATTTACTAATAATTAAACGAAAGAAAAAAGCTATTGAATCTCCACAATAATCAGTAAGAGGTTCTAGTTTTAGTTGAAAATAATGAAAGTTTAAAGCCACTACGTTTTCTAGTCACCTCAAACTTTAAATCTATGATTATGTAATTCATCACAAACATCAATCAACACCTTGTTCCTAACTAATATTCTGAGCGTCCTCACAACATCACACTCCACTGCTTTATCCTCTATCAATTGCTGATTCTCTTGTTTTTATGAGATAGAATACTTGTATTATGTAGAATGCCTTGAAACACATCTAACACAGTACAATAGTTCCTGTACCTCTACAAGTGTTTGTATGTTTACGTACTTAACTAACATCATTATATAATATTAATTGAACGCGATATATATAAACAGGAGTGAAAATTGTAGAATACTTTAACACAGAGAAATGCATATCGTTTAAGAAAACTCTTTAGTAAAGAACATAAATTAGATTTTTATTAGATGTAATACATTTCCCAGACACTTATCATATACATTTACTCACCATTCTATTAGTATTCTCACCTAATATCGAGACAAACTACCTTTCGCTACACACACGCACATTAAAAAATGGAGTAGCACAGTCTCCCAAACTATTGGAATACGCCTTGTTTGAGTGTAGCCCGTTCGTTAACTAGTGTGGTCTACAATGGGTCCACAGATGTCCACAGGTGATTATGGTGGCTAATGCAACGTTCAGGATAATCCCAAAAAGAATCAATGGTATTGAGATATGGTGGTTGTGTTGGCTCAGAAAATTGACTGGAGTCTTTTTCTTCTCTTGCTCTTCAAATCAGTTTTGGGTAATACGAAGTCAGTAAGGTGTTGCAATATTGTTTTGGAGAGCACTTGTCCATGAAAATTGAAATGCAGTATTGTGGGGTAGACACAATCATCAAAAACATTCATGAACATTCTGTTTTTTTCACTCTACTTTCTTAAAAATTCAAGGCCTAACTTTACCACTAGAGCTTTCCTCACACAATTACATCACCTAAAGCAGCATGTACTATTCATTAAAAACAACAAGAAGAAGAAATATTAGCTCCTGATGTGATTTTCTCCAATCAGATTAGAGAATGGTATAGCGGGACTTTATAGACCACATCCCATATTTACATTCATTCACTGTCCATAATTTTTACTCGCACCACTGAAGCCATTCTGTTCTGTTTATATCTGACATAAGCAGTTATTGGTAGTCATAGACGACTTTCGTAATCTACTTCTCATGATATGGCTAGAGATAGTCCATATAAAAGTCCAAACCTGACTCTGTTGAAATAATTTGTCAATTTGAATAGAGTTTGATATCTATTGTGTTTCACAAACCTGTCAAATCAATTTTTCTTGTTCTGTTACTGACAGTTGACTGTTACATTTCTTCTAGTGAGAAACGTTTTTTTCTTCGATTGTCAAAATTGAAAAGTTTTGTTTACTGATATTCTTCAAGAGTCAGTAATAGTGTTTAGTGTTAGGCAGTGACGCTTTTGTTAAACAGGTATGCTCTATCATGCTCTTTTGGAAATCTAATAGATCCTTGCTCTTACCCATTGTCTTGACTAACTATTATATTACTATTTTTTGGAACCTATAGGGTTCAAGTATAACTAGTCTATTTTGTATACACAAATAAAATATATTCTACAAACTTTTCTATTCTGAGTAATCAGTAACAATTCAGTCATAGTTTGTTAAACGATTTAAAAATAGCAATATAAGTTCAAAAATGTAGAAACAGTTTGCACTACAAACGTCATAGATGTATATCAAAAGACAACTTGTGTAACATCAGTCATAAAAGCTATGATGAAACGTTATTTACAGGTAAATTATCCATAGAAATTCCATACCAGATAGGGTTTAATCTCACTAGAGGTAGCTTGTAAACCTATTCTATTAGTTAAAACATTACATGTGTTAAGGAAGTAAACGAGGGTGAGAGTGTTATCCACTCCATAACTGGATATCCGTCCACTGGTAGCACACGCCTTCAGGATTGACGGCTATAACAGCCGGTGTAAAAGTCTTGTTCCGCTCAATTGGAAGTGGGATTTGTAACAGATGCGCCAATCAGAAAATAAGATTAGCGAGTATATGGCACCACGTTGTTGGGATTGAGGTAATCCCAACTTCCGGTATACAAGAAACTTTAAATAGGAATACTTTTTTAATCCAGCATAAATCTACTATGAGGTTGCCGTTAGTTGGAAATAATCTTTTATTTCAAGGTGTATCAGAAATGTTCTAAATGTTGTCTTATTTTAATCTACTATTGTTGATTTGTAAGATTATATTACTGTTTGGATCAGAATGTCATTTTAGTTTGAAACATTTAACATATATATTGCTTATCTACAATAGGAAAGTAAAAACTTCGTGATAATAAACAATCAAAGTTAATTCTTAAGAAAAATACATTCAAAAGCTGGAATTGTATAATACATTAATCTGGTTCCTCAGGATGTGACCTGAAAATCGACAATGACCGATATTTCATTTCCAACGTGGAATTGGTACACTATTTAGGGTTATGCATGCAAGTTTAAGCTGCCATTACAAGAAAAGGTATTTTTAACATCAAGGAACGGATATGATAAACATCAGTTGAAAAGGTTGTTGATATGTAGTTACAAAATGTAACTTTGAAGGGTATGGCTAAATAATTAAAAGCCTTAAAGCGTCTTGGGACAGGTTGTTAGAGTATAGTTAGTCACAGAATATAATATCTGGAAGGCGAACAAAGAAATTACAAGATTTTAAGCCTTTCGAGATGGTTTGGTGTTCAAAAGTTATGAAATTTTTTGGGGAGTAGACTATATAATTACAAGCCTTTAAGCTTCTCGGGTAAGAGTTATAATGTGTAGTTACGGAACGTAGGTTGTTGTTGTTTTTTAAGGTAAATTATAGAATTATACAAGCATTTTGCTCTTCCATAATGTTTCAGGTCGTGTAATAATCTGTAGTAACCAATGACTCTGTCTTTCTCCCTTCCTTTTCATGTATATAATGAATTTCATGTTATACTAAATACTTAGTTTTTGAAGTTCAATGACTTAATCCCACAAATCATAACTATAAATAAGTGTGTGTTTACTTATTCTTTCTAAACTAATATAGCCCTATTTTTTTCTAATTTTGAAATTAATGCTTCTTCGCTTTACCAACAAATTACAGATCAATGAAGTTTACCATTCAAAGAACTAATTTCTTGATTTTGTAGCAAGTAG